TGCTGCAAGTGACCCTGTTACTCAACTTTTTGGATATTTCTGCTGAGAAGATTTTGTTTGTTATTAATCTTTGTGAAAGGCCCCAGAAATATCTATTTATTTATTTATTTATTTGAGATGGGATCTCACCCTGTCACCCAGGTTGGAGTGCAGTGGTGTGCTCATGGTTCACTGCAGCCTCAAACTCCCGGGATCAAATGATCTACCTGCCACAGCCTGTTGAGTAGCTGGGACCAGAAGCATGAGCCATCATACCTGGCTTTTTTTTTTTTTTTTTTTTTAATTATTTGTAGAGATGAGGTCTTCTTATATTGCCCAGTCTGGTCTTGAACTCCTGGGCTCAAGCAGTCCTCCTGCCTCAGCCTCCCAAAGTGCTGGGGCTACAGGTGTGAGCTACCATGCTTGGCTCATCCTTTTTTTTTTAAAGAGAAGAATTATTGGCCAGGCACGGTGGCTCATGCTTGTCATCCCAGCACTTTGGGAGGCTGAGGCAGGGGCGTCACCTGAGGGTAGGAGTTTGAGAACAGCCTGGCCAACTTGGTGAAACCCCATCTCTACTGAAAATGCAAAAATGAGCCAGGTGTGGTGGCAGATGCCTGTAATCCCAGCTACTTGGGAGGCCGAGGCAGGAGAATCGGCTTGAACCCAGGAGGTGGAAGTTGCAGTGAGCTGAGATCTTGCCACTGCACTCCAGCCTGGGTGACAGAGCAAGACGAGCAAGACTCTGTCTCAAAAAAAAAAAAAAAAAAAAAAGAAGAAGAATTCTAAAATTGAATAAACACCCGGTTTGGTGGCTCATGCCTACAATCCCAGCTATTTGGGAGGCCAAGGAGCATCTCTTGAGCCCAGGAGTTTGAGACCATCCTGGGCAACATAGCAAGATTCTGTCTCTATAAAACATACAGAAATTATCGTAGTCCTACCCTGAGTAGCTAAGATTACAGGCACACTGGGTATGATAGAGTGCACCTGTAATCCCAGCTCCCCAGGCTGGGGTGGGAGGCTTGCTTGAGCCCAGGAGGTCTAGGCTAGTGAGCTATGATTATAACTGCACTCTACCTTGAGTGACAGAGCAAGATCCTGTCTCAAAAAATAAAAATAAATAAAATTGAGAGAGTCTCTGTGAATCTATTTTGGTTTAGGGGGCTGCCCCCAAAATAAATAAAATAAAATAGAATAAAAGAAATGGACTTATGCATGTGATTTTATTGAATGCTGTTTCTTTTTGCTATTCATTCCTCTATATTCTATTTTGTAGTTATTCGTTGCTCCATGCTTCACGAAAAACATTTAGCAATGTCAAAGTCAGTATCTCCGAGCAGTGGACCCCAAGCGCTTTTAACACGTCAGTTGAGCTGCCTGTGGAGGTAAGAAGAACAGAGTGCTGGGATGGATTGAAGAAGACCGTGCCCACCCTGGATTCTTCTTAAGTTCCTTTTTGCATCTTTTACTTCCCTAGGACTCTGAAATAGCTCACTGTTTCCTATCACATAAGAGCCAGACTATTTTACTAATTTCAAAGCCTGGTCCAACTCAGGTCCATTTTACTTCTGTAGCCGGCTTACTTCTAACTGTTTTAAAATCACACCTTCTGATGAGGCTATTTTTTCATTAGCTTTCATTAATGCTGTGTTCGTTTCTGTCTTTGAGATTTTGCACATTATCCCTCTTTTTGTTTTTGAGACGGAGTTTCGCTCTTGTTGCCCAGGCTGGAGTGCAGTGGTGCAATCTTGGCTCACTGCAACCTCCGCCTCTTGGGTTCAAGTGGTTCTCCTGCCTCAGCCTCCCGTGTAGCTGGGACTACAGGTGTGCGCCACCACGCCCAGCTAATTTTTGTAATTTTTAGTAGAGACAGGGTTTTACCATGTTGGTCAGGATGGTCTTGATCTCTTGACTTAGTGATCCACTGGCTTTGGCCTCTCAAAGTGCGGAATTACAGACGTGAGCCACTGTGCTGGGACCAGAATCATAAATCTTAAAGATGGAAGTGGCCTTAGAGCAGTTATGCACCCTAACCTCCCAGGATGGAACCTCCCTTTATCATTCTTGGAAGATAACCATCCAGCTTCTGCTTCAGTAGTTCTGGGCAGAAGAAACTCGCTGTTGTGTGAGGTGGATGCTTAAATTTTTATTCAACTCTGAAGAAAATTCCCCCCGTCTCCAAAAGTTTCTGTTGAGGCAAAACATTCCTGGCTCCTTCAGCTGTAGTTTAGTTACACCGCACACCAAATGAGGAATTTCAGGTGCATCCTGAACAGTATACAGAAAAATAGGATTTGATTTAGGCACTAGATTTCCAGTTTTACTGCCTAAGGCTGCCTTTATTTTTAAGGTAACTGGATTGGGGTTTCCCAAGACCATCCCCAGTTTGGTGATTAGGAGGGCTTAACATAGAGTACGTGTGGCTGTGATTTATTCCAGTGAGAGGATGCAAGGTAAACTCGGCAAAGGGAAGAGGCTGCCATGGTGTGAAGTCTGGAGGAGGCCAGGCCAAGCTTCCTAGAGGCCTCTCGTTAATTTTTTTTTTTCTTTCTTTTTTTTTTTTTTTTTTTGAGACGGAGTTTCTCTCTTGTTACCCAGGCTGAAGTGCAATGGTGCGATCTCAGCTCACCGCAACCTCCGCCTCCTGGGTTCAGGCAATTCTCCTGCCCCAGCCTCCTGAGTCGCTGGGATTACAGGCACGCACCACCATGCCCAGCTAATTTTTTGTATTTTTAGTAGAGACGGGGTTTCACCATGTTGACCAGGATGGTCTCGATCTCTTGACCTCGTGATCCACCCGCCTCGGCCTCCCACAGTGCTGGGATTACAGGCTTGAGCCACCGCGCCCGGCCTCGTTAATTTTTAATTAAAAATTTTTTTCTTTCTTTTTTGTTAAATTATTTTTTAAGAGATGGAGCTGTTGCTATGTTGCCCAGGCCGTACCTGAACTCCTGGGCTCAAATGATCCTCTTGCCTCAGCCTCCTGAGTAGCTGGGACTACAGGTGTGTGCCACTGTGTCCAGCTAAAAAATATTTTGCATTTATATTTTTTAAAACATTTCCAGCCAGGTGTGGTGGTTCACACCTGTAATCTTAGCGCTTTGGGAGACCAAGGAGGGAGGACTGCTTGAGCCCAGGAGTTTGAGACCAGCGTGGGCAACATGGCAAGACCCTGTCTACAAAAAATTTTTAAAAAGTTGGAAAATTAAACAGAAAAAATTTCTTTCTTTCTTTTTTTTTTTTTTTTTGACATGGAGTCTCTATTGCCTAGGCTGGAGTGCAGTGGTATGATCTTGGCTCACTGTAACCTCTGCCTCCCAAGTTCAAGCGATTCTCCTGCCTCAGCCTCCTGAGTAGCTGGGACTACAGGTGTGCGCCACCATACCCGGCTAATTTTTGTATTTTTAGTAGAGATGGGATTTCACTATATTAGTCAGGTTGGTCTCGAACTCCTGACCTTGTGATCCACCCACCTCGACCTCCCAAAGTGCTGAGGTTATAGGCATGAGCCACCGCGTGTGGCCAGAGAAACACTCCTTAAGTGCTTTAAATAGAATGCTAAAAAGTACTTTTTAAAAAATATATATATATTTTTTTATTTTTATAATTGAAAATTCTTGGCTCAAGAGGTGGACAAAAAGCTTTTTATAGCTTTTATTTTTATACATAGCTTGGTTGGGTGTTTTACAAAAAGAATTCAGCAGACACAGTCTCTGTTACCTTTAGAACTTATAATGGAACCACTGACATGGACAAACACTGGAAACAGTAAGGAAACATCAGAACATAAAATCACGTTCTGCACATGTATCTCAGAACTTAAAGTATAATAATAATAAAAAGAAAGATGAGTTGTAAAGGTTTGCCTGCCCAAAAGCTATTTTGTTTCATATTTACATTTTTAGTTCTTTCTCCATCAAGAAAATGATTAGTAAAATGAATGGGGGGAGAAAATCAAAATCTATGTCTATATTAGATAATAATCATTAGATCTAATATTTGAGAACAACTCAGCTAAAAACTGTAATAAAAATTTATAGTTCTTTTATGAGAATAGTGCTAGAGAATCTAAAATTATCTCCAGGAGAAAGAAGCAGGATTTAAAGTGTCTTGGGTCAGGTGCAAAGTCTCAGGCCTGTAATCCCACCGTTTTGAGAGGCCTAGGAAGGAGGATTGCATGACCCTAGGAGTTTGAGACCAGTCTGGGCAACATAGAGAAACCACCGTCACAACAAAAATGAACAAATAAAAAAACCGCTTTGGGAGGCCTAGGTGGGCAGATCACTTGAGGTCAGGAGTTCAAGACCAACCTGGCCAACATAGCCACACTCTGTCTCTCCTACAAATAGAAAAATTAGCTGGGTATGGTGGCACATGCCTGTAGTTCCAGCTTCTTGGGAGGCTGAGGCAGGAGAATGGCTTGAACCCGGGAGGCAGAGGTTGCAGTGAGCCGAGATTGTGCCATTGCACTCCAGCCTGGGTGATAGAGTGAGACTCTGTTGTCTCAAAAAAAAAATTCACTGGGCGTGGTGGCACATACTTGTACTCCCAGCTCCTTAGGAGGCTAAAGTGGGAGGATCACTTGGTCTCTGGAGGTCAAGGCTGCAGTGAGCCATGTTTGTGCCATTGCACTCCAGCCTGGGTGACAGAGCAATTCCCTGTCTCAAAAAAGTAGTGCCTTTGGACATTCCATCTCAACCTTATGCACAGCTATGTGGTAGAGTCCCACATAAACATGTTCTACTTGCCTTATGCAGAGAACCTCGTGCGTAAGTTGGCCTGTCTACCACCCTCTGCTCACCACTTTGAAGAAGCCCTTCCATGTTAGGGAGCCTCCCCTGTCCCCCTGCATAGCTCTTAATCTGTTATAAACATTCTCACCTAGGAAACTTACACAGGGAACTTTAGTGTGTGCACAGGAAGTACCTCGACATCTAGCAGGTGCAGTAGCTTATATACTGCTCCAACTTTATTTATGATTTGGGGATTTTATTTTTTGTTAAAGATATATTTCTTTGATTCTTTTGTGGTTCATAACCTGGATTATTGGGTATTCACATGTAAGTGTGAGATGTGCCACCCTAGAACTTATTACAATGTGGTCACATTACCCACCTGACATGGATTAAAAATAAAAAAGATGTGCACTCCACCTGGGCGGCAGAGCGAGACTCTGTCTCAAAAAAAAAAAAAAAAAGATGTTTCTTTAAAATTGCTGATTGTGATTTTTCTCTTATTTAATTTTTTTTTTTTGAGAGTGTGAGTCAATGCCCCCCACTTTTTTTTTTTTTTTTTTTTTTTTTTTTGTGACGGGGTCTCACTCTGTTGCCAGGCTGGAGTGCAGTGGCACGATCTTGGCTCACTGCAACCTCTGCCTCCCAAGTTTAAGCGATTCTCTTGCCTCAGCGTCCTGAGTAGGTGGAATTACAGGCAAACGCCATCATGCCCAGCTAAGTTTTGTATTTTTAGTTGAGATGGGGTTTCACCATACAGCCAGGATGGTCTCGATTTCTTGACATCATGATCTGCCCACCTTGGCCTCCCAAAGTGCTAGGATTACAGGCATGAGCCTCCGCGCCTGGCCCAACGTTGGCTTTTTAAAATCGTTTTTTTGTTTGTTTTTTCTGGAAGCATGTTGCCGTGAGCAATGCAGTGATCACTAGTGCTATTTGGCATTACTGCCTTGGTTTATGTGAAGGCACGGCAGTTTCTCTCCACTGCTCTTGCACCGTCAAAGGGAACAAAGTGGAAAGGGTAAATCACATTTTAGTGTGGTGCAAATAATTTTGACCTTGCAGACCCCCTTGGAGAAAGGCTCTGGAGGCCTCTCCGTCTCCCTGAGTTCCATGGACCCCAGTTGGAGGGCTATGATCTGGTCTATCTCCCATCCTGTTAAAGAATCCCTTCTGTATCTTTGAGAAATTACCTTCCTGTTTCCCTCAGGGATGTCTATTGCAGGGGAAATGTTTATTGCTACACTGTGAAGTAGCCTGTTACATTTTTGACAGTTCTATAAACTAACTCAGATCTTTTTTCCGCTGATGACCCTTGATAAAGTTGAGGAAAACTTCTCACAAATCCTCGTCTCTCTTTTTCAGCATAAATTTATATTTCCGGTTCCTTCAATGGTTCCTCTTATGGCCTGGTTTCATATACCCTGCTCATCTTTAAAATGAAAATGCATGGACATTATTTAATTCATTACAAAAGATATTGACAAAATAACCATGGGTTCTTTTCACTGCTGGACCGTATATAAATATATGTAAGACTTGGTTCTTACCCTAAAGGAATGAAAAAAAACTGGATCCATTTAAACACAGCTGAAGAATATAAACATTAACTACAGAATCATACATGGCATTTTGCAGTTAGAAAGAACCTAACTCTCGGCTGGACGCAGTGGCTCACACCTGTAATCCTAGCAGTTTGGGAGGCGGAGGTGGGCAGAACACTTGAGGCCAGGATTTCAAGACCAGCATGGCTAACATGGCAAAACCATGTCTCTACTAAAAATACAAACATTATCTGTGCATGGTGACACATGCCTGTAATTTCAGCTACTCAGGAGGCTGAGGCACGAGAATCGCTTGAACCCAGGAGGTGGAAATTGCAGTGAGCCAAGATCATGCCACTACACTCCAGCCTGGGTGACAGAGTGAAACTCCAGCTCAAAAAAAAAAAAAAAAAAAAAACCGAAAAACAAATAGAACCTAACTCGTTTCATGGTTCTGTCAGCTGGCCACTGAGGAGTTGTGAGAGCTGCGCAGCTGCTTTGTCATGAATGGGTTGTAGGTGGGCTGTGATATCCCTTCCCTACGCTCCTGGGGTTGCCAGGTGGGGCTTGCGATGGCCTCGTTCTGATTTTAGGCTGGTGGATATTCCCAGGCTAATCAACTCTGACCTTGAACAGCTTCTTCAGTTCACCCCAGTGTGTTGTACAAAGATCGTTTTCTATATATGCCTATGAAGAAGCTCAGAAGTATTGGGATAAGTGGCCTCTTAAGGGCAACAAATACTTAGGACTAGAGTTAAGTTTTCTGAGTACCAGACTAGAAGGATAATAAAGTTGGCAAGACATTGTGATTTGATTGAAGTGGTTAATGAAAGATACTTCTTTTCATTTTAAAAATTAAGATGTGATTTTTAATTACCTTTTTAGTATATAGTTCTACAAATTTTGACAAACACATATAGTGTTCTAACTATTCCCAGTCAAGATATAGAACATCGCTCCCCAGATTCTCTTGCACCCTTTTTTAGTCACCCCTTCTTGCTTTCCTCAGCCCTAGGCAACCAATGAGCTTAGGAAATTATTTTTGAAGAGTACTGTAAAGTGTTTCCTTAGATGGAGTTAGACATAATTTCTCCCATCCAAGTACTAACCAGGCCTGACCCCACTTAACTTTCTCTATCAGATGAGATTGCGAGCTTTCAGGTTGGTATGGCCCTAGATGGTAGACATAATTGCTAATTGATTGGATATTGAATTCTGCCAAACACAAAGATTATAATCAGAATTTATTTCTTCTAAATGTCTGCTTTTAAACTTACTGCCCCACTTTCTCACTGAATTGACTTAGTCACTAACGTTGGAGTATTCCAATGATACATGTTGGAGGTGATAGGTTAATTGCCCCGATTTGATCATTCCACATTGAATATATGTTGTAATATCACACTGTACTCCCTCAATATGTACAATTATTATGTCAATTAAAAATAATAAAAGCCAAAAAATAGATACCAGTTATTTCTAAATGCATCAGAAGTAAAAGTTGGTCTTGAGCATGAGTGGTGTTTTGGCAGTATTTGTGAAGGGGTTTTGAGAAACAGAAAACCCTAGCAGATCCCACAGGAGCTGACCTGTTCCTGTGTCTTACTGTAGATCTGGAGCCGCAACCATTTGTTCCCCAGTTCAGAGAAAGCGACTCTTTTCCTCGGAACCCTGGATACCATTTTCCTCTTCTCCTATGCTGTGGTAAGTTTTGGAACTCTAGGGTTTAAAGGTAAAGAAAAATGTAAAAGGAAATGATTCTGAGCCTTACAAAATTTGTAAGGGATTTTGAATTTGCCGACTGAGGCAGAGTTCAGTATTTCTGAAGTTTGTATTTTTTTGTTCTTCCCATTCATTCATTTATTCATTCGTTCGACAAATATTTATTGCACATCTAGCATAGGTCAATGGGAATTTATCCTGAACAAAACAAAAATGCCCTGCCTTTATAGAGCCTGGATTCTTGGGTGTGGAGCTATGGGAGACAGACAGTAACCAAATGCTATAAATAAATTATAGAGTATGTTTGAAGGTGATAAGTGCAATGGAGAAAAATGAAGCAGAAAAAGGGGACTAAAGGGGCCTGGGTGAGGTGGTAATTTTACGTAGCACAGCTGGGAGACCTTAGGAGGCAGCAGGCCTTTGAGTGAAGACCCGAGCAGGTGAGTGAGGTCAGTGTGCTTGGATCAGAGCTGTAAGAAGTGAGGCCAGAGACTTGGTGGGGCTCAGATCTGTAGGGCTTTGGTGCCTTTGTCGGGCCTTTGGCTTTAATTTTGAGTGAGATGGGAGCTACTGCAAGGTTTTGTGCAGAGCAGTGGCAAGATCTGACTTAGGTTTGGACAGGCGCCCTTGCTGCTCTGGGAGCTGAGTTCTTTTGAAGTGAAGGATGGTGGTGGCTTGGGTCCAGTGTAGCAGTAACAGAGGCTGGGGGGAAGTCGATTTTAGCGGTGTTTTCGAGGTAAAGCCAATAATGTTTTTCCCCTCTTGAATGTGGAATGTAAGAGAAGTGTCAAGAATACCTCAAGGGTGGAAGTGTCGTGGCAGAATGGAGACTGGGGAGAGAGAGAAGGCTTTGAGGACTACTTTTGGATGTGTTACATTTGACCATTACTGCTCAGATGGTAAAGAGCAGACGCTTGGTCATTGAGTCTGGAGTTGAAGGTGTAAGTTCAGGCTGGAGATACAAGTTTTTGGAGTCCTTGGCCTATGGATGATTCATAGATGAAAACTATGAGGCTGCATGAAGTGATCAAGAGAAAAGGTGAGGGAAGGGAAGAGGTGTGAAGACTGTGCCCTAGGGCGTCCAGTCCTCAGAGATGGGTGAGGAATGGGTCAGGTGGCTGGTATGGAGTGGTAGGGAAGGTGGGGCTGGGTGTGATGGCTATGCCTGTAATCCTAGCAGTTTTTGAGGCTGAGGCAGGTGGATAACTTGAGGTCAGGAGTTTGAGACCAACCTGGCCAACATGGAGAAACCCTGTCTCTAATAAAAATACAAAAATTAGTTGGCTGTGGGTGCCTGTAGTCCCAGCTACTCAGAAGGCTGAGGCAGAAGAATTGCTTGAACCCAGGAGGCGGAGGTTGCATTGAGCTGAGATTGTGCCATTGCATTCCAGCCTGGATGACAAAATGAAACTCCATTTCAAAAAAAAAAAAAAAAAAAAAAAGAGTTGTGGAACCGATGGTAGCAGCAGCTGGAGGGTGGACTGTGAGAGGAGCCTTCCTTTTCTCTCCAGCGTCTTACTTTCTGTCTTTAAGTGTGCCTTATTAAAAATGCCTTTTAATTCTCAATGTCTAGGCAATGTGAAATACTGGGTGAAAGTTCTGAAGTAGTTTCTAAATGTTCACTTGGTTAATTATTTTTATTTATTTATTTTTTTGAGACAGAGTCTCACTCCGTCACCCAGGCTGGAGTGTAGTGGCATGATATTGGCTCACTACAACCTCCGTCTCCTGGGTTCAAGCAGTTCTCCTGCCTTGGCCTCCTGAGTAGGCTGGGATTACAGGCACCTGCTACCATGCCTGGCTAATTTTTTTATTTTTAATAGACATAGGGTTTCACCATGTTGGTCAGGCTGGTCTCGAACTCCTGACCTCAAGTGATCTGCCCGCCTTGGCCTCCCAAACTGCTGGGATTACGGGCATAAGCCACTGTGCTCGGCTGATTTTTTTTTTTTTTTTTAGGAGACGGGTTCTTGCTGTGTTGGTCAGGTTGGTCTTGAACTGTTGGCCTCAAGCTATTCTCCCACCTCCCAAAGTGTTAGGATTACAGGTGTGAGACACCATGGCCCGCCAAGTTTTTCTAATGTAGAGATCGTCAATTTATTAGAAACACCTGGTCCTAACT